ACTTGCAGCCAGTTTATCTGACCGCTCTCTACTTTGACAGGTCGCCAGTGAATTGGATCATGGATCCTAGTTCCTCTTCGTTTTTCAAAAACAGTGCCCTCGGACGGCGAAACCAGCCCAAGATGGCAGTGGCTAACATGGCTTGATGGCCGGCATGTGGGTCGTGACCTGCCGAACTTTCATCCCGCGTAGGAAACTTAGACATGTTGGTTTGTCGTCCAACTAGCTCCATGGCGCCGACGTTGGGCGACGCGTTCACCAACATGCGAATTGCTTTGGCTAAATGGAGCCTCAGCAGCGAATATGGGTTGGGTAGGTCGCTGCAACTGCTTATATAGACTGGGGGTCCATGAACCATGACCCAAGTAATTTGCACGATTGCCACCTCCGCGCGGATTTCAGCCTTTATCAAACTTGAATGTGTGGCGCCGGGCCTCGCATCACAACTTGGAAATTAGCATAAATCGAATTCTTGTCCCAGCGGTCACACTTTCGCTTCTTCTTCTCAATTACCTCCTCCTAAGACATGTATTTTCGCTTGTGCTGACGGTAAGATCACGGATCCATTCCATCGTATCCTACTAGTCACTATGCGACTGCATACGCGGGCTCAAAAGTGAGCTCCAGGGTAAAACCGGAACGTAAATTGTTCCACACCTAGATCGGCGATCCCCATATATTCCCCGTATATCCGATCTCAACCTACAAAGCAACGAGCCCGTGGTGCAGTGGTAGAGTGGTAAACCCAATGACCGAAGGTCCGGGTTCGAACCCCCGGGTGATCCACTTAGCTCAAGTGGAAATACTACCTCGCAGCTTGATGCCTCTTAAGGAGCAAGAAGGTTCGGTCTCTAGGAAGTTGTGTGCGACTTGTCATGAAGACACGGCAGCAACTTACGGGTTCGACTTCGCCTGTGAGCAGTTTCAAGAAGGTAGACTTTCCCACACCGTTGGGTCCGACGATGGAAATACGCGTGGATAGATCAATGCCAAAGTTCACGTCCTTGAAGAGGGGCTTCGCAGAGGGATAGGAGAAGGTGCAGTTGTAGAGACCGAGGACTGGTGGTGAGAGCGGTGGCGGACTGGGGAAGTGGAACTACAAAGAAGCAAGGTTGGGTCGTCAGGTCGAGGGCAGTGGTGGTGCAAAGGCAAGAAAGGGGAGGGGGGGCGGGCTCAAAAATACCTTAACCACGTACTCCTTTGGCTTTGCGATGAGTTGCTTTTTGTCGGCGGAGTCGCC